TATACTCTCTTTAGAAATCAAATGTGCGCGCTGAATAATAAATCAAAATAAAGAAAGAAGAATAACACGTGATCATTATATTTTAGAATTTCCGCCTAGAGGGCACTCTTGTCGCACCGCTTTCAGCGCCCTCCCTTCTAGGTGGCTGTGTGATACTAGTATTTTCTTAAATGTCTCTAAATCATTATAGTATCATTTAACTTGATTTGTAATCTTATAATGTTTTGATTATTAATGCTTATAATGCTATTATATATATATATATATATATATATATATATATACATATACATATATATATTAGAGTATTTTAAAAAACATTAAAAACGAAATATAATAAAATTGTAAAAATCAATTATTGAATGTTGGTTAAAATATAATCATTCGTATACAATTTGAAAGGATAATGACGGTAGTTTACCGCCGTTAAATTGCAATGGTCTGTCTATGTAACCTTAATGTTGACCACGTGCCATCTATGACAACATTTAGCAAAATAATGAGCCAATCAGCGACATGTACGCGAGCGACGGTAGCGGTTTCTTTGCGGAACATAGGGATAAGTTCGTTTGATCAATGACACATTATTATTATTATTATCTGCTTCATATTCTGCGGCCTAAATTCAAACAGTCAATGGATTTTATGTGATCTGTAAGATATTTATTATCTTTGATAATAACGTTAATATACGATAACAGAACCATTTTGTAAGATTATTCAGTTTGAATAAAAACATGTCGACAATTGGAGAAAAATATGATACTCAAGATGATTCTGAGAAACAAGATGATCTTGAGAAAGAAGACGGTGCTGATAAACTAGCAGATCCAGAGGAATTGTATGGTGTCCGAGATGGTATAATCTTTTTGATTGATACTTCTCCTGAAATGTTTAACAATAATAAGGAAGGAAAACCATTTTTTGTAGAGTGTATAGAGGTATCATTTGTTTTTTTTTCTTTTCTTTTTTCTTTTTTTTTTTTGAGATATATGATTTTTGCTATTAAAAACTTATTTGCAGTCTCTCAATATGAATTTACATTTAATACCATCTTCATCCATTATTTAGAAATATATTCATATACTGAAACAAAAATTAGTTTGGAACAGACAAGATTGGATGGGTTTAATATTTATGGGTACGGAAACGTGCGATATAAAAACAAAAATAGAAAACATTGCGTTAAAGAAATTTTCTCTTATTAATATAAAAAAATTAAAAGAAGCTGAAAAAATACGTGAGTTCTAGAAAAAAATTTTAATATGTTCTTACTCATTAACATTTTATATTAACTATATTAGATTGTATTTATTTGTATTCTAATTAATTTTATTTTAATAGGAGATAATTGGAAGGATTATAAAAATATGAGCTCTTCTGTAAATTATCCTCTTCATGATGCATTATGGCATGCAAGTCAAAGTTTTATTAGTTTTCGTAATGTAACAATGTCTACACGTAGAGTTATATTATATACCTGTCACGATGTTCCACCATTGACTGATGAAAAGGAAAAAAGTCGTATCAGAGATAAAGCAGCCTCTTACAATTATTTGGGTATATCACTTTATGTAGTTGGTTTGGGTGAAACGTGGAACGTTGAACATTTTTTCAAAGACATTGAAATGCTTTCCAAGAATATTAACGAAGAGGATTATCAAAGAACTTCTTACAGAGATTTATTGCAACAAGTAAAACGGCCATCTAAACGTATAGCAAAATTACCTTGGAGAATTGGCAATCATGTAATAATAAATGTAGATATATGTAATGTTTGTGTGTACGTTTGACTATTTTTATTATTTATTTATAATATACTTCTTATAATATACTTATACTTTTTATAATATGTGTCGTAGTAAGCATCAAGATGTGAAAAAAATGACAATGAATTCAGAAAATAATGCTCCTCTGATTGCATATACATATCATCGAAAAATGTATTCTGACAATACAGAAAATGTTTGTATTCATGTATATATATATATATTTTGTTGTTGTTGTTGTTATAATAGATAAAAAATATTTTATTAATTGTATTACTTATATGTCTAGGAAGAAGATGATGAAGAAGCAGATAAAGAAATTTTACTATCTACAGATTTGAGAAAAATGAAAGAATTTGGTGGAGAAAAAATCTATTTTACGGTGGACGAAATTAAGACTTTTAATAATATTTTTGAAGTGGGAATAGATATGATCGGCTTTAAACCTTTTTATTGTGATCCAATGTATCACCTCCATGCACCTTATTTTGTTTCTTGTAATAAAAATTGCAGTGAAGGTAATATCTTTGAATATTTTATTTAAAGAAAAAAAAAAGTAATAATAATAATAATAATATTGTTAATCTTATTTCTTAGGTGAACAATTATTATTTGCCGCTTTATTACATAAATGTAAAGCAAGGAATCTTATAATAATATGTAGAGTAACTTTGAGAAAATATTTTGGATCATATTTATACAACATGATGCCAATATCTGATAAAGGAGGATTTTATTTATACAAAATACCATATAATGGTTCGTTCAAAATTCAAATTTTATTTATAAGAATTACTAGTAATTGTTTGTATCATTTTTTTTTTTTTTTTTAGAAAATGTAAATAATTTTACTGAAGAAATGTATCAGTATACGTATAATGATCAAGATAAAACAGTTCCAATTAATTATGAAGGTGTTGAATTGTTTGAACAAATTATTGAAAAATCTAGTAAAATTTATGAACCAGAAAATTTTCCAAATCCTAAATTATCATATAAATTGCAAAGTGTGGAGACATTAGCTTTGGATCTTGATGTACAAGATCCTCCAAAGGATGAAACACGTGAGCATTATAACAATAGTAGTTCAATATAGATCAAAGGGTAAAGAATAATTTTAATATTTAAAGAATAATTTTCAGTTCCCAATGAAGATTTGCTCCGAGAAAAAATAGGTTATTTAACAGAACAAGTTAATGACTTATTTACGCTGGAAGAAGATTTTGGTCCATCGCGCCCCAAAAAATCTAAGAAATCTAATAAGAATTAGTTCTGATGAGATAAAGATGTTTTTTTAAGCTTATGGAACAAAATAAGTTATTATAAATTATAATTTATATAATGAAAAAAAAAAGAAAAGAACGTACTAAATTTACTCTTTTTAATTGGATCGACGTTCTAGTATTGTATCTAAAATTATTTTTGTACGATGCTGGTTTAACCACATCTGAACAAAAAAAGAAAAAAATAAAACGTACATAGTAGCATTATGGAATAGATTTTGATAAAAACTAGAAATCTAAAAGAATCCTTTTGATATTACATCTAAGATTTTAAAAGTCTATATTTTATATCTAAGATTTTATATGTATTTGAAAATAAACGTTATTGTCAATAAAATTTATCCATAAAAGATAAACAATGATAGAATAATTATATTTTAATAATTTTCTTAAGTTACAATAAAATATTTTCGTTAATGAAATAATATTTTACATTGATTTATTAATAATATATATATATAAACTAAAGAGAAATAATAAATAAAATAAATGAAAATTAATAAAAAGAAAAAAAAAATTCCATTGAAATAAAATATGTCGTAAATTATTGTTGTTTGATTTTAACGCGATATAATAAAATAATTTAAATTTACAATTTAATATAATATGAAAATGAATCGTAATAATATGATAATTATAAAATATTTATATTATTTTTGGACATTTATATTATATTGGACAATTCGATTTATGCTTTGTTCACAATGTTCGTTCGAAATAAGCCAATCAACGATAACCTCGTGATAGAAACGTAAGAGATAAACTAAGAACGTGATTGGCTAAGGGAAAATCTCAATTCGAAGGTCCCTTCTGAAAACACATATATACACACACACACACACAGGCACACACAACAGAGACGAGTTGTAACACACAAAGCGAGGAAGCAAGTTACTTATCGGTGATGGTAGAGTGAAAGAGAGTTGCGATTCTTACTCATTTCTTATTCTGCTTAGTTCGGTTTCGGTATAGTACAGCTGTTCGTCGTTTTTGATAGTCTGACGAATGAATTCATCGGGACAGTCGCAGTTCTCGTCGTAGCAGAGGGGGTATTAGCGCTGGCGCGGCTTCATTCCTCGCTCGGGAACGATGAAAAATTAACGCTTCGCCTATGTACACATAATATATCGATAGGCCGAATCAAGTGTTAATTCCAAAGTCTTAAAACAGAACTAATTTTGAACAACCTATAACGGTATTATACCGAAGGAGGGTGGCCTTCGGTGTGACAAAAGGCTCGAAGTGCAAGAGAGAGACAGAGACGCGTACGCAGTAAAGGAACAACAGTCGATTTTGTTGCGAGCGACGAGATCGTAAAAAGAAAGAAGAAGAAGAAGAAGAAGAAGAAGAGGACGACGAAGAAGAAGAAGAAATTGTAGAGTCGACGGGCGGCGCGTTAAACTTTCTTCTCTCACAATCTCTTTCTTTTTTTTTAATCTCCTTTCTGTTCCACGATAAACGCATTAACGAAAGGTGCCAAGGAACTATTCGGAACGGTCAAGAATATTATTTCGTTTCGACGATTTGGGAGCGACCAAACCGTTCGTAAGGGATGTCTACCCCTGCAAGAAGAAGGCTAATGAGAGATTTTAAGAGGTACGATTTTTTCATCATCATCATCATCATCATCATCATCATCATCATCATCATTTATATTTAATATTAAAACTAACTTTGTCATTTTATCGTTCAAATGTCTATAGATTCTATCAATATTATTAAAAAAGTAATATAAAAATTTTCTAATGGAATAACCTGTATAAATATCTCTACGTATCGTTCTCGCGGGAGAGAATGAATTCGAGTTATCCCGAGTATACGCAACGTGTACGAACGTCATTGTGAAGACGAAGTTATTATTAGGAACTTGTGCTTGTGAAGTGCACCTTGTAAATGTTCTTCTTCTTTTGCCAAGGAAAACTTTTATGAATAAGCCTGTTTGTTTATCCATTGATGTTCTTATAAACTTTCTCCTTTGGTACTTTTTCAAATGTATTCTCCCTTTAAAAGTTTTCATCTTTTTATATTATTTTAAAAGGATTGTTTCTTTCGTTTATGTTTCATCTACTCTGATTGAAACGTAATATATATATATATATATATATATAAGGATCTTTTATTACATTTGAACGTATTAGGATATTTAATAAGTAAACTTGTAGAATATTTTTAAACGCACATTTCTAACGGCTATAAATAGTATGAAAGGCCTTTGAAGCAGCATATTTAAACTTTGGCACAATTTTTCATCGATATATCTAATGTGTTTTTTTTTTTTTTTTTTTTTTTTTTAATTATCATTTTGTAATATACATGAATATTTGTTATTATATAAGTTTGTTAAAACTATGTTTATTGATTTTATTGATCTAGCATGGAACTGGCATTATATTCTAAAGAGTAATTATTCCAGCAATGAATATTAGAATACAATAGAACATATTTAAATATATAAGATAAAAGTTTAACTAAATTATATAAATAATAGATATATATATATATATATATATTACATTTAAACAGATTACAAGAAGATCCACCTACTGGAGTATCTGGTGCACCTACAGACAATAATATTATGATATGGAATGCTGTTATATTTGGGTAAGTAATCTGAATTTTATTTGTATCTATAACGTGTAATTATTAATTTATATTATCTTCGTTAAAAAGTATTATAAAGAAAAAATTTTTTTGTTCTTTGATCTCTTAACCTCTAAATATATACTCTCTAAGTTTCGTTTAATTTTAATATAACTATTTAACATTCGGTATTGCAATTTTTTTTTTCTCTTTTTTTATTTGTTTTAGACCACATGACACTCCATTTGAGGATGGTACATTTAAACTCACAATAGAGTTCACGGAAGAATATCCAAATAAGCCCCCTACAGTAAGATTTGTCAGTAAGATGTTTCACCCTAATGTATACGCAGATGGGGGTATTTGCCTTGATATTCTACAAAATCGTTGGAGTCCTACATATGATGTTTCTGCCATCTTAACATCTATACAGGTAAATGAAAATTTATTGACAGGTATCATTTAAATATTATTTTCTTAATAATTTTCAAATTTATGTAGTGATGTAACGCTTCTTCGCGTTAGTACGTAGTTTGATTTGCATTATAAATTATTATATAACAGAATTTAATTTATTTAATTGTTAACAAAACTGAATGCATCTGCATGACAATAATGTGTTTATATGTACAAAGATTATATAGCGATATTCACACAAGAGTACCCACATAATTCACGAGGTTGGTTTATATAATACATATATATATATATATATAAACGCAAGTGTAGATCTTATATTAAATGATGGATTGGTCTATATTATAGCTCCCCTTATTTTTTTTTTGTGTCACATTTAATTTCTTTAAATATTTGAGATAGAAAAGTTTAATAAGGGTACTCTTTGTAATATTTATATATAAAATTATTAGATTAATTATATCCTTGGATTAATATAATGTAAAATAAAAAATAATTTATTGTCCTTTTTTCATTCTCAAATATTTTTCATAAATCTTATCCATGTTTTGATTTAAAAATTATACATATGAATCCAACTATTGTTTTTCTCATAGAATAATTATTTCTTAAAATGGCGAATTGTTCATTTTTCTCTCTTAACAGCGGTTGCAATTCAACAAAGTCCTAGATCATTCGATAAAGCGAATGACGTGCACTAAAAATTTAGTAATTTCTTACACTATGCATAAGGTTTTCCATTCTTCGCAAACAAATTGTCTTTCACCAATGCCAAGCTATATTAACAATTTTGTCATTTAGATAAAATTTATAAGCCATGCATTTTAAAAGAAACGTTTGAATTTTCCTGTAACGAATACGACTTATGTGGTTGCAGTCGCTGTTAAGTGACCCGAACCCGAATTCACCTGCCAACTCAATGGCAGCACAACTGTACAAAGAGAATCGACGCGAGTACGAGAAACGAGTGAAGGCTTGTGTGGAGCAGAGTTTTGTGGATTAATCACAGACGTTTTCATGATGCTGTCGCAGCATTATCCAACCATCTACAGGCGATTAGATATGGAGGAGAATGTGCAGCCTTACCAAGGAGCTTGCGCTGAACCTTAGCATGTTTCTTCCAAAAGCTCTATTGAATTACCACAAATGTGCAACATTAGACCGAATTTTTACAATGTTGAATAATAAATTATTATAAAATTGTGTAATTTATTTATTTCGATATCTGATAAATAACATGAAAAATTAATAATATTAGATGATAAGATATATATATATATATATGATATATCCGACTTTTTGTTTCTGTGCAAAAAATTAATACCTTTGAAAAGCGCAGACTTATAGTTTTATTTTTTAAATTAGATTTTAGTACTTCGTACAATACCTAAATTCACTTATACATGTTATATAAATATATATATATATATGTATACATGTATGTATACATATATATATATGCGCGAGCGCACGCAATCGTACACACAAGCGCGAACGCGCCCACACATACACACACATACACACTTTACTAATAAATGCATAATTTCACTTTTATAGTCTTACAACTTTTTTGCAACCTTTTGTTTTTTTTTCTTTTTTTTTTTTTTTTGTGTTTGTCCTGTTCTTTTAATTTCAGCTTGAAACTTGAAGCTTTAATTTCCCATAATGTAAATAATTTTAATAGTATGTATTTGTACAGTTGTGTTTTTATATTGTTTTAATTTGTAACGCTTGCACATTAAAAGGGATTTAAAATTTTTAATTTATTTGTTTCAGTCATTATTGGACGAACCAAATCCAAATTCACCGGCAAATTCTCTAGCAGCACAATTGTACCAAGAGAACAAACGAGAATATGAAAAGAGAGTAGCCACAGTTGTTGAACAGTCTTGGTTAAACTTTCAAGAAAGTCATACGGAGGATCCTCGCTGACATTAAGTATGCCTCTCATCTATCTCTTTATATTATACTTATTATTAATTGACTTGTTATCATAATAATTTTTACTCGAGAATTCTCCATAGGTTTATCGAGACAACTTTGAAATCACACTACAATTTATTAGTAATATTAGAAATATATATATATATATATATTTATATATATGTATATTCATATACATACATACACGTACACACATATATAAAATATTCGTATTTAATATATATATATATATATATTAAATACATACTATCAAAAAAATTCAAAGAAGAAATCAATTGCGGTGTATAATGAAATAGATAAGAAGGTAAAGCGTTTGGTAAATTTCGACGATCAATCATTTTTTTTTGTACTTTTAATTCGTATTAGAAAAGACGATTATAATATAAATCACGAATTCGATCATGATGCGATTATTGATAATATATTAATTCTCGAGATTTTTTTTTTTTTTATAAATACTTTTTTAAAAATAATTTCGCAAAGTTTTTCCAAGACGTTAGATTATTAATTTCCATAAAATATTGAATTTATTTCAGATTTAGAGTCCTGGAATGACATGGGAATCGCACTGAGAAACTTATGTGATCTATACTTATAAGTATAAATACAATATGTGTATGGTTTTTGCTCATAATAAATACATTTTAGGTGCTTTAACATGAATAACAAAACAATTAAAAAAGAAAAAAAAAAAAAAAAAAAAAAAAAACATATGTACAAATACTCTTTTTTGTAATATCACAATGATGATGCATTAATAAGAATTATATTGAAAATGTAAAATGAATTTCTCTACACTTATAATAATTTGTTTCATAGAAAATGGAATACATAACTTGATATATGTGAAATTTATTATATTATAGACCAAGGGCATTTGTACGTATATTACCTATTCCTGTTTTGTCTTCGATAAGATACTTAGAAGTTGAAATTTGTTAAGTGTCAATTTACTTTATGCATTGTACTTTATTTTTTTTTTTTATTTTATTTTTTTTTTTTACTTTTTTTTCCTTTTTTTTCCTTTTTTTTTATTTCAAGGACTTCAAGCACAATGATATTTCAGTTCAATTTTAATTTTATGAGTTATTGTTTTAAAGTATATAAATTTGAATTTATATTTAAAATGGAGTTTTGTTTAAAAAATATTACAAAAATATTAATGCTTGAAGTCATTGAAAAAAAAAAAAAAAAAATGAAAAGAAAAAAAAGAAAAGAAAACAAATCTTCACACATTTAGTTTTGATTTTATATACATTTGTCTTTTGTTTTATTTTGCTGTTGCAAATAATTGAATCCCATCTTAATAAAATTATAAATGAATAATATAAATTTGTGATAGAACCATAAGAGACTCACTTTCTATAATTTATCATATGCAATTTAACAATATGTAATCAACTTTTATATAATATAACCTTGTTTTCTTCAATAAATTCTGAAATATATTATGTTAATTATATTTAATCTTATATTTCTAATATAAGATTTATGTAAAATTTTGTATTAATCGATTAAGAAATAATTCAATGAACATATAAATTACTCCTGCTCATTTCATTTACGTTTTGTTTTACATAACATTATAATTAATTTTTATTTATTAATATACAAGAAGAAAAATAACGTATTTTCGATAAATATTAAGATACATAAGAAGTTTAAAATAACAAAATACTCTAAATTATATTACAATTTTAGGAGAAAACTATTGAGAACATCCCTTCCATGTCACAAAAGTTATTAAAATTATAAGTTGCAATTTTTATACATTTATTATTTCGCTAATATGGAGATAATTTGCTTAAACGATTTTTCATATATCATATGTATATCCTCTGTATCTAAAGATTTCCTATTGAGTAACTATACATCTAAGAAGTTTTCACATTTCGTCCATTTTAAGCTTTTAAGAATAATTATAATTAAGTAATTAATACTATTTATGCAAATAATGTATAGAGTTATATTATGAATATTTTCTATGTACTAATTTTTTTTTTCTCTTTTTCTTTTTTCTTTCTTTTATACGAGACTCTGTGTTTAGTCGGCTTTAATCTTTGGATGTAACCCAATATCACTGGTTTAGTCAAACTATAAAGTAATTATTATATACAATAATCATTTTCATTATCAGTGTCATAATTTAATACAATTCACTTGATTTAATTAGATCCTAGAATATTTAAACTTTGATGAATACAATTCATAGATCGAAGTGAAATTCTAATTACATATAATATTGTTTTACATCGAATGCTTTGAAATCTTAAAAAATTTTCAACCATACTTTGTCTGCTACGACTTTTCTTCTTTCTCTTTATTGTACCTTTCAAGTTCTTTCAAAAATTGTGCTTTTGGTTTCATAACGTTTGGACGATCTCCACGACACTTTGGGCAAAACCATTTCCCTTTTGGTTTAGTACTTAATGACACACAAGAAAAATGGAACCACTCTATTGGACATAAATCATTATCACAAAGTATCATTTCTCCGTATGAAATTTGATCGCATAGGCAATATGTTGGCTCATCTGGATCTATCGCAAGATCATCTTCCAATGGTGGTGGAGTATCTTCCCTATGTTGATTATGTTGATTACCTTGTCTAGACTTTCTTTTCTTCTTTTTACCAGTATTCGCAGTAGTAGTCTTCTTTTGATTACCATTACTTGAATTAGTTAATGAATTTGATCTTGTTTCAGATACTACAATCATATCCATAGCATGTCCCGATTCAACCAAAGTCTCTGTTCTCGTTCTTCTAGCACGTTTTGGCAAACGTTCGGCATTATTAGCATTCGTAGATGAATTGGAATTAATATTTGAATTTGATTCACGATTGGATTCACAATTCTCTTGTTCTTTACCAAAATCTAAAATGTACATAATATTATTATTCATTAAAGAATATCGTCGAACAAATATTCTCTTTTGGTTAATACATTTAGGTAAGCTCTTACAAAAAGAAAGAAGATAACAACATGCATATAATCATATCATATTGCATACCTAGATTGTGATAATCTACGTCAAGTTGTCTAGATTTATTCTCTATCAAATCTTGAACCTGCTGTACTATTTGTAATTTTTCATCTCCAATTTCTTGAGCGGCAATAAGTGCCTGTTGTACTCTCAAAAGTGCTCTTCTTCTTACGGATAGATCAATATCATTCCTCAGTGCTTCCTGGTGTTGGTCTACCTCTCGCAAGTACGCTAATTTCGAGTAAAAATAAATAAGAAGAAAAGAAAAGAAAAAAAAAAATAAATAAATAAATAAATAGAATATTATATTTCTTTCATTAATAATTATTCCTCTATGAGATATAAATGAGGTACAAATGGTACAAATATAAATATATATTCTTTTGTTTCCTCTTACGTATAAGTAAAATCTTTTTCTTAGGAGGAAGAAAGAAAAAAAAGAAAACCCAAAAGATTTTTATATGTCTTTAGGATCGACGAATTTGAAATAATAACGTTAATTAAACTTACTTTGACAAGTGGCATCCAATTCGCGAAGACGTGAAACGTGTCTTTGCAAATCATTAGGAAGATTTTCGACACAGTCCAAATAATTTTCAATGTATGTAGCTGAATATAGAGCCTCGACGACCGCTTGATTTAACATTTTTTCTTTTCTTTTCTTTTTTATTTATTTCTTTTTTTCTTTTCTTTTTTTTTTCCCCCCGGTCTTTCGTATCTCGTTAAAACAAGAAAACTTTATATACGTAAACAGCACCAATCGACGAACGATGATTATTATAAGATCGCTTGATGTAAAAGTCTCTTAAATTTTTTCTCACATATCGTTTCTACGGTGTATCGTTTGTAACATATAGTCATATATGCGGCTAATTTACGGAAAATCACGTATGTGTATATGTTATGTACGCGTGCGCCGCATATACAATCGTAACCAATTCTTTTCTTTTTTTTTTATGACCGTTTCTCTCTCTCTCTCTCTCTCTCTCTCTCACTCCCACTCTTTCTCTCTCTTTCCCTCTCTCTCTCTCTCTCTCTCTCTCTGTCTACCTTTTCCTTTCTTTCTTTCTTCTCTTCTCTTTTCTTTTCCTTTTTATTACCACAAAAACAGACGATCCGAAAGTCGTCACACCGGTTCTTCTCTCTTTCTATTTTATTCTATTTTTTTTTTTCTTTTTTTCTTTTTTCTTTTCTTTTTTTTTTTTCTTCTTCTTCTTCTTCTTCCTTTTTTTATGCCAATGTATACCACCTACGTCCATAAACCGTTCACATGACGGAACATAAAAGAAACATCCTCGAATATCACTTTTTCACTATCAATCATGTCGATGCCATTTGCTTCTTTTGTTTTCATTGCCGAACGAGATATACCACTACAGAGAAAAACAGTCTACAATGAGCATAATACACACGATGGAAATTCGTAATCTGCATTCCGATGGCTTCTGCAAGTATCATAACGCGCGTTTATTTCGGAAACAGAACTACAAGTCGCACTTGTTCACGGCCAATGAAATAAGTCGATTATAATCGAATAGAATCGATCGTTCGAATTCGATTAAAATTAAATAACGTCATATCGATCTCTCACTGATAATTGGAAAATTGATTTCGATGAATTTTCAATACATTGAACTAAAAATAAAACGTTCTTATTGTGTAATGTGCGTTAGTAAATATATATCGCTTTGCTTTACGGACTAATTTTTTTTTTTTTTCAGGATATGAAACGTCCATATTCGTTTCTAAGATCGACCAATAGAAGAGCATTTATTTTCATACATATCTTTCGATTGGTTGGATTTTGAATAACACAGGTTACGTAAGTCAAACGTATTTTATTTTCAAACGAAATATAAATTGTGTTAATGAAAATAAAACATTAGAAAATTGAATCTTACTTTTTTTTCTTATATTATATCTTTGGAGAATTTTCAAAAAGAACTATTTTTAGGAACAAAAAGAGAGAGAAGGAAATAGAGAGAGCCTGCATCGTATTATGTGTAACGTAACGACATCAGTTCCTCAACGATTGGAAAATGAACTACGTACATACGATACTTATGGAAGTGTCGGTAATAATATAATTGGAAAATAATTGATTGCACAAAAGATTGGATCATTAAATTATTAAATATTTTTATTTATTTCAGGATAACAAGTTGTTGATAATATTAAAATATGTTTATAATTTAGCATCTTTATTGATTGAAACTTTAGTACGTTCATTCGTGTTACCGACGGAGTAACGAGCTTGCAACGTTCAGCGCCATCTTTAGAGAAGAAATACGAGCCATCATTAGAGGCACGTTTTCTTTTCAATAAAAAGTTAGTCACATAGTTTTATAAAATAATTATAAGGAACTATTACATATTATATATGTACATATGCATATATGTTCATGTATATAAAAAAATTCTCAAATGTTATATACAGGGTGTTCCAGAATTGTTTTTGACCTATATTTTAGAAGCGTATTGAAGAGATTCCATAGAACACATAACTTTTTAATAGGAACCAATAACCACCTCGGTCAACTTACAACGCTACATGGTTTTGAAATTTATTTATTATACAAAACAATCTAGTTAACCTTTAATAAATTTAAACACGATGAAATTGTTCCTAAATAATTTAATACGATTAATTCTTTTATCATTTAATCAAACTGATAATAAAATAAAAATAAAATGGGCAAGTTAAGAAATTGTTTCACGGGAATCCGCTGAAGTATGAATCAAAACTTTTGAATATGTACTACATTTATATGTATATGGATAAATTATGTACATATATTACATTTAAATATTTTCTTGCGATATTTTTTACTTCAACGATGGATCGCAAAATTTCGGGAATAAAAGAAGAAAACAAAAAAGAAAATATCTTCGCGATATAATTTCTTTTTTTTTTTTTTTTTTTTTTAAGAATTATTGTCAAAAGCATTGATAGAGATCGAAATCAATCGTGAAATAGAAAATATGGTATATTATTCGTTAAATAAATTTAACGAGTGATCCCTATTTTTTTGGATTTTATTATATTACGAGGGCGTTAAAGAGGCAAAGCCATCCATCCATCATTCCTCGTCAGTGATGCATCATACTTCTCAAACATAAATCTGCTTGAAGTAAGGCAATCGTCGATAGGAAGAATTCAAATATCGTCGTGCATTGGTTGTCATCTTTCGAAAACGTTCGTTCGAGGTGCATTTTTCCCACAATCTTCTTCCAAGATAAGAGGCACCTTCAGCTATTCTTCTTATTATTCGTCCTTGACTCTCAAGTATACAGTGCAACGTCGTACGTAACTCTTCACGCATAGTCTTTTCATTTCTTCGTCGCAATGAATAATCTGTCGGACAGAAAAGAGAAAGAAGAAGGAAGAAAAATGAGAATGGGAGAAAAAAAAGCCCTTGGGGACGTGTATAAAAGTCGATTTTCAATGAATTATTATAGTTTTTCAAATAATTATGATTTAAAAGTTACGTCGCTTTTGTGACTTTTCGACAATGCTAGAATAAAATCGATCAAGATTTATAGTAATGCGTACAAGTATTTACATTAGTATCTACCGTCATCGTCTATTCGTAATGGATCCATCTTTCAAACTTCATGATCGTTATAGTATTTGATTTTTTTCTTTAGTACGTAACACCGTAAATTTATTACTTACTTTTTACAATTTTTCGTTATGATAAAGAAAAAAAAACAAACTTGTTCAACTCCATAAAATATCCGAAAGGTACTTAAACGTCAAAGTTTAGCTTAGATTAGCAACAAGTTCGTGTACATACCCGCAGAAACTTATTTCTCATTTGTGATTTCGAAAGCGTGACCCTCAACTTTTAGAACGTAGGGGGAGAGGGATGAGCGTAGAAAAGGAAAATAGAACTAAAAAGGCTTCTCCCCCTTACGACGAAGGGTGCAACCTGAATATCTAATACGTATAGCTTACGTTTATCGCGTATGTACTTACGTAAGCATTAATCATGCTACTCTTAAGCATGATAGTATCAACCGGATTATTAGAGGAATCATCAGATTAAGATATCATCAGAAAGTGCATTGCTGTTGTAAAAGAAGAAAAAAGAACTAAAAGAGAAATAGAGAGAGAGCGAGAGAGAGAGAGAGAGAGGGAATTTATTCTCGTCGCCATCTTGTGATACTCTTGTAGAGTGCCACTGGCAATCGAGAGAACGAACGGAAGGGTTTTACAGGAAACGTACGACGTGGCAAAAAAATAGCAGTAATTTCTGTCCCTTAGGCGCACGTGCGCCAGCCGAAAATCTCGGATATATTCCCGTTCGTCGAGCCGAGTCGAGTAGGATTTCCCTCATTGCGGGGCCTGTTTAAACAAGGGGAAGCAGAGTCATTGTACCTATAGCTGTGCTCTCTGTCTTTATCTCTCTGTTTCTCATCGTACAGAAAGAGAGAGAGAGAGAGAGAGAGAGAGAGAGAGGGAGGGAGGGAGAAAGGGAAATTCTTCTTCCCTTCTCTTGCAAATGCAGCTGCGTGTATTACACACACTGTAATACGGAACACTGGCTGCGTTTACGAAAAGGTATAAGGGTAATCGCTACGATAGGAACATAGTTCTCCCTTTTGAATAAACTCTGACTGAAAAAGAAGCAACGAATAGGTTTCTTTTGGTGTCTTCTATCCGTTCTGCAAGGCAGCATTTGCGCTCGAGGAAGTCGTCGTTGACAAAAGTTGATCTTTCTGTAAACGTTTGTTGTAGGAGTAAATCTTGCGAGAAACACATGCATTCGTTGTACGTATATACGTTTACGCGCGTGTGTGCGTGTGTGTGTGTGTGTATGTGCGTATGTGTACCCGACAACGATAATATCGTTCGTTTATGTTTTCTACAATAACGGACGAAATTTATTTCCCCGATATGGCGGCGATTCTTGCAACAATGGCGAGTCGTTGACTTCCGTGAAAAATTTGTTTCGCAATATCCTTCAGTGTTCCGTTTTTATTTCTATCGCTACTATTTTCACATTTTCCAAGCGACATTACTAATCAAGTTTATATTCTATTCCTATATGAGAACTTGGTATTGTTTTATTAACGAATGTCACAAAAAGGATCATTCGGGATTAATTGTCGACTTGTTTTTCTTCTTATTATTCATGTTTTCCCTGAAAGGATACTTCGTTGAGAGGGACTTTGTTTTATTGAGAAAAAAAAAAGAAAAGAAAAAGAAAAAAAAAAAAACAAAAGAAACGAAAAGGAAAAATCACGTAATAGTTAACAGAATCGTTAAAAGGGATGAACGAAAAAAAATATCGTGTTCGAGTTCGATGACACTTTTCGGGGGTTAGCATTATTTATTTATTTAAAACCGAAAAAGTACGACTTGGTGTACGTCCTCTTTGAACGTTCTCGTACTTTGGACAAAAAGAAAAAGAAAAAAAAAAAAATCATACGAATTTCGAATTCGAGTTTGTTTCGTCGTAAAGTTGTCAGATAAAGAGGAGATAGGATCGTAGAATCATTTAAAATTATAGTTAGCGTGAAAACTTATCTTTTTATTTCAAGGTTCACACAACTGGTATATATAATCCGTGCCGCGGTATGTGCCGTGGTACATTAAACGGCTTACTTATGCTTAAAAGAATGAGGATTATTACAAGTATATGTTAAGTCGTATTGATAGTGGTGTTTGAAAAGGCCGAGGGGGGGGGGTGGGTTGGGTGAGGGCGGTGTGAGGACCATAGGTCAATTGAATAATAATTAGAAAAATTTAATACGATTTTAACTTAGACAATCAAGATCGGAGTTAGGAACACATATTTATTATCACGGCTTTCAATGTTTCACGAGATAAATCGTGTATCGAGAGAAGCAAGGAACGACGAACGAAAAGAGAGAAAAAAATAAGACACACACAGGAAGTAAATAATGCAAGAATGAACATAAACAAACGAACAAACAAAAATTGATTAAAACAAAAAATATAGAAAGGACATGTGCAAAACGATAAATGGGGTGGTAATAGTGGTGGTGGTGGTGGTGGTGGTGGTGGTGATGGTGGTAGTAGTAGTAATAGTAGTGGTTGGTGTTTGGACGACCGATGACGGAATAATGCAAAAAAGATAGATATTAAATTCGGCTGATTCGACATGGAACTCTTTCGATCTCCCTGGTAAACTTTCGAAGAGCCGATAAACGCAAAAAGAAAGCTACTCGTCGAGGCGCAAACGTTACGTGTCACAGAATGTCGGATATCCAAAGATTCATATCGCCTGATACGTTTATATATATATATATATATATATGTATACATATACATGATATATATATGTAATATATATACATGTAATATACATATATATATATATATGTTACGTATAATATGTACGTACGTGTATATATATATGTATATATTTAATGCTCGTGTATTTATAGTAAATACGTGCGACAAATCCAATAGATCCTTTTCCTTCTCCTCCTTCGGTACGACGCTCGATTTTATAAATTTTAAGGATCCATCGATCGAATGCTATTACC